ATAGCCGCTCATCGGCATGTACACAATAAAAATAATTAATAAAATTAAAATCAAACATATTATTCAAATAGAGTGGGAACTTAAGGGGGTCCGGAATCCACCGCAAGTAGATAGCCTACCTGATAATATACTGCTCACATCATCACAAGCGAGTCTCAAATATAGTTGGCATTTTTAATGGGCCAGACGATCAGCTAGAAAATGTATAATAATGATATAATTGATCTTTGTTTCGACACGACACTACGACAGTTAACTCGTCTACTGACGATCGTACGTAGCACCGGCTTCAACCGTTATATTTATGACGTAGGAATACTAGTTGAAATTATAAACTACAAACTAACATAGCATTTTTGTTAAGTTAAGAGTTGTATGAAAAACAGCTCAATTATATAAATTGCGTTATCGAAAAATAATAATACTTTTAGTATCGATATGCGATAAACGTGTTTAACTACACGAATTATAATTATAACTATATAGAATCATTTTTCTATAACAATATGTGTATAGAATCATTAAAATCATTTGTAAATATTATTATTATTTTTTGAAAGGATTTTTCAAAATTAGACCTCTAAGGGCGTAAAAGAGGGGTTTTTATACAGCTATATAAATATAATACACGGGCAACGCCGTGTCGGGACAGCTAGTACCTACCATATAATCGCTCGATTATCGAGATGATGGAAACATCATGACGTGCAAAATCAAAAGACGATTCATAATAATATAATATGTAAAATAATAAAAGCGCCGATGAAGTGTCCAGTTACTTGTAATTCAAACTATCGATGATAGACTATCGTAAATTAAATGTGCAATCTGACAGTGATTGGAGTAGTACCTATATACTTATACTTATATTTTACAAACTGCAAATGCACGCAGTTATTGACACTATTTGATTTTGTCATAGTCTATTCAATTTTATCTTTGTAACCAATGGAGAAAATTCTCAAAATTTCCAATTGCAAATGTTTACATTGTTTCTTGAAATTGTGTTGACTTTACACTTTAGAAAACTCAGAATCATCTTTCGAACGAAATTATATTTTATGGTTGACCTCGAATCAAAAACTGTGATGTATATAAATATTGTATGGCATATGGTTGTAATTGGGAAAAGTTAAACTAAGTTTATAATAATATTGCGTCACTGTTTTGTGGAAGAATATATTATAATCTATTTTTTGTTTTCTGTCCGTGCTTTTATTTCGTTATAGATTTATTTTCCACGGGAAGGGTAAATTCTTGAAAAGATTAATCTCTCCAACCTCATCAGTAGATTAATAAAATAATATACATAATACATTATATAACAGTGTATTATAAACTATTGTAATACCTATACAATAATTTATTATTGTTGGCAAACTACATTATATTTTACCATATAAATAAATTATAATTTCAACTCAGTTTTCAGTGATCTTGAAATTATACCAATTTTAATTCTTAAAACTTAAACGACTTTATTATATGAATTGAGTTCATCGAATTAACACAAGTAGGTACAAGGTTATTTTTATGAATGGAAAAAATCAATACAACGTTAAGAAATAAGCTATGAATAAGTACTACATCTGTCAGACACGTAGGCACATACAGGACCCGTACACATACGCTCTTGTGCTAACAAACTATAAATTTAGTTAAAATAAATGTTTCTTGACCATACATTTTTGTTATAGTATATAATGCATTTTAGACTTTTGTAGGCTATCTACTCATATGTTCATATCCCAGGATTGCTGAGGATGCTATATATTGATAAAAAACAAAAATTAAATTGTTAAATGTTATTAATTATACCGATGTACTAACGAGTAAATAGTTAGGTAGGTATGTTACATGATTATGTCTGCAGTATGCAATATTGCATTTTAATAATATGGTAAAGCAGGTTTGTTTTTCTTTATTTTACTTGACATAATGTCAGCTCACTGTTTGCTTTCTCTATCTGGCCCAAACGCATTTAAGCAGAATCATTTTTTTTATATTTTTGAGTTATCTTATAGTAAAATTACCCATTACAAAAACGATAAGAAATAGTATTTTTGAGTGTACGACTTTTTGATTTGTCTAAATATTGTCCCAAACAATTTAGTCATTTCAATTTATAAAAAAATGTATTTTATTTTGAAAGTCGAATACAAATTCAAATAACAAATAATATTAAAATATAAAACCGATATTCATACGATCAAAAATAGTATCATACATAATTTTTGTAATAGATGATTTTGCTCTAAGATAACTCAATAATCATTAAAAACAATTTTAATGAAAGCGTTTTACCTATGTTTCGCTTTGGTCTGAGAGAGAAAATTAATATTGCGCTGTCATTTTTTTAAATGAAAATGTCTATAGCCGAGCTATACAATTCAGTTAAATTCTTGATTTGGGGGATTGGGGTCGCATTGGTTTGGGTCCAATGTGCAAATATGCTATGCACAAATTGCATACTCAGTAGTGTTGGCCAGCAATATATTTTCAATAATCGATATGGTACTTACTTTTCTGATATCGTATCGCGATATTGAAAAAATACCGATATCGATATCGATTTAAATTTTTACATAATTACAACAAGTTACATTTTATACAATTTAGTTTATTGAAATCATATTAAAATTATAGAATACATATTATATTAATAAATTATGAGTAAATTAATTATCAACTATAAATAATTTTGTACTAAATGAAAAGTATTCATTGAGTACTTATTTATTTATTTATAAAGAATTTATTAGACAAATTGTATTATTTAATCAAAATATATCTTCTTCGAGCAGTTTTCCATCAATGTTTCAGAACTTGGGTTCGATTTGAAAAAATGAATTCAGAAATAACAGTTGATTGAGTCGCTCAGAAGATAATATATTTCTTTTCTTGGAGATGATTGTTCCAACTTCGCTAAATAGCCGTTCGCAGGGAATACTAGTGGCCAATATACTTAGTTATTTTTTGGCTAGTAATGATACGGCCGAGTATTTAGGTTCGTTTCCACCAATTTAAAGGATCTTGATTGTGGGGAATTTTCATTTTCAAATTTTTATACTCTTCAAGTTGTTTCATCGTAGGACTTTGAAAATATATGTGTGAAATATATCACAATATGCTATAATTGACTATAGATAAAAGTAATAAAAGTGAATATCCGTCAACTTTATTGTTCCAAGCCGATATCGCGATATTTTCGATAATTATATTTAGATAACGATATCGAAATTATTCGAAAAATACCCACGATATCGATATCGTATCGAACTATCAATATCGTTGGCCAACACTAATACCCAGTAGTTGCGGTACAACACCTCAAACCTATGTATGGTAACAGTAATTACAACCTATTATTAAAGTACAATCACACAGCCTGAAAAGTGTTAATTCCATAAATGTGTAAAAATCTGAACTTTGTGACACAAGAAGGATTTACAAAATGTAGGTGTTTGGTTTTATCACTCCACCACCTCAACGTAATAAATGTATCGGGGCACCACTATTGTCGTGTTACACACGAGTCCTCACTCTGTTCCTCATTAGAAAAGACTTTGTTTCCATATAAAAATATATACAGGACCAGCATCTTCAATTTTATCTGATTATAAGAAAGCCTACAACAATTTACAACGAGCTGGATTTTATCATAATACCGTTAACCACACTCATTATTCCAGTGATCCAGACTCAACTAGGGGCATACATTTAAAATATCGAGAGGTTAAGTGGTTTTTCTAAATAAGACAATTCAAAGCCTCGAGCAACCAATAAAAATTGTCTGCAATTTTGGCTGAATTTATGTGTATAAAATGACTTAATCGACAAGATGAATTCGAAACTATTTTAAAAGACATAAGTATCCGAGTTCTGGCCTTTATTATACTTTTTTTTTTTTAAATTGATTTACAATAATTATGTATTTTCAATTCTGAGCGTAGAGATATAATGATGCTTGTTTTTTTTTTGTGCCACTTACCAGAAACAATGCTGAAATCATTCACTTTAATGTTGGTTTCTGGTAGCAAATTATACTTGGTACTTTTGAGGTGCCAACTTTGAAAATTCTCAGTACTTTTTTAAACATTCGAGAACAACAACAACAAAAAACAAATATGTGTTCAAATTTGAATAGATGTTTTTACCAATATAATTATTGTGTAACCTTGGTAACTAAAATTTAGATCGTCTTCGATTTATTTTACTTTTTTTCATAATTGTTGATAAAAAATAAATTGTTAGGTTAAAAAGCTTAAACATATAGTACAAGGTTCTCATAAGTAACTATTATTATTTATTGTAACTAAAAAATCACCTGTTATTTTAGAATAGGTAGTAACTTTCCTATCTTCTTATACTATTATTTCTTAGTTAATAATATTGTATAAGCTATCATAGGCTGACATACCGTCTCCGTTCACAGGGTAATTTCAGATAGAAAATGCTCAAATCCGAGGGGCCTAGGATTGGTTTTTGCACACAATAATTTATTATTAATTTAAAATATTATACATTAATTTCGGTTACCTACTAAATTACGAGGTATCTGGCAACTGCACAGTAGAGAGAATTCTCTTGTATTTTTAATTTTTAATTGCAAATTTAATTTCCGCCTATGTGCACAACAAAAGAGCAACTGCAGCCTGCAGCTTGCTGCAGGTTTCTGGTAATGTGTATAATTTAGTAGTAACCTACCAACATAATACTTAAGAGTATTTACGGGTACGACACAATAATTTGATTAATACGCCATGGTTTATCAGTGTGAATGTATACAATGTTTCCCAAAAAGAATGTTTTTTTTTTAAATTGGTAAATAATTACTTATTTTATCAAAACAAATTTTATTTTATTTGCTTTTGATTGCAATTAATGAAATAAGTAACGTTTATCTGCAATAGAACACTATTATTATGCTTTACTATCACACTGTTTAATCGAGTCTTAGAATATTATCAAATTATACTATATAGTTATTGTTATTTCAGGTTGTTACAGATGTAGCTGGAGTCTTCAACTATCAACATCATTTCTAATATATTGGACTTGTGTCCAGCTGTGTCACGCACTCACACATTTAAAAATATTACGACAACAACGACATCTTAATTGTAAAGCATTGTGAGCTTATTTTAAGTTTTCGTATATATTGATACGAAATCTCAAGCTTTCCTGTCACTTGAAACTTGTAATATAAATTAAAACAAACGTTCGAAAGCTTCCTTTAATAATATATTATCGTGATTATAATAAATATTAAGTCTATAATTTCCCCCGATAATTTATGATAGGTAGGTACTTGGCGTGCTTTAAATATACTTCATTTAAGCTGTTTCGTAAAGTTTTATTCGGAAACCATATTTTGTTACAAATAAAGCATAATAAAGTACAATTTCACTTTCATGTTTGCTCCCCATAAATTTGCCTGAATAGAAATCTAACTAAACCAATATGATCATTAAAATATTCATAGGTACTCTTGAATTTTTATTAAGATTATTGGTAACAATATTGAAACTTTATTGTAGTTATGATACCCTATATCAGTAGGGATATGATTTTAATGACAGACGAATCTGGTTAGTTTAAGATAGGTATAAAACAGTTGGGCCTGGGCAAATTTTTTTTAGTCTATACCTGTATATTGTATAGGACATAGTAGGTAGTGTGAATAATATCATATTGCATATATTTGAGTTTTCGGTCAAAGAGAGAAAATTATAGTTTTTCAAAGTTTTCATGTTGGTATTTCGTTTTTACGTTTACCTCTTAAGTGACGGATTGATTTGAATTTGATTATAATGTAGTATGTACCTACTCATTATTGCTTTAAAACTAAATGAAATGAAACTAAATTAAATTGGCCGAAAATGTATCCAATCAAATGTTGTACATTTTAAATATGAGAAAGTTATATGAAAATGTACCACGGATCAACATTGTCATTCAAAATTAACCATTTTTTTTTTATCTGTTAATTGTTTATAAAGTGTTATGTTCATGTCTCATTAAAAAAAAAGTTTGTACATTATTGTAAATAATAATAAATTCGTTGCTTTATTTTTTGTTTTTCAACATAATTCGTGTAAAAATTCACTGGTAAAAAAAAATTATGTGATGTGATAACTGATACAGCTTAATACTTTATACAGTGGTGCAACTATAGGGTGATGAGTAACTCAATTTTTAAGATCTATAATATGTAATATTGAGCAAATTTTTTAAAAGCAAAAATATTTTAACAAACAATGCGTATATTAGTTGATATTGATCATTCAATAGACTATTCACAGTCCACAGATAGAATCAAGTTGTATATTTATAGATCAAAGTACATTTCCACAACTTTATAACAACAATATAACATTTTCTGGTTTTATTTACAATATGTTCTATTATTTTGTGCTACTTATGGAGATAATTTTCTGCAACGGAATGTATGATTAAATTAAAAACCCAATAAATTTTATTATTTATAAAAATACCATATAAGTAGGTGCTTATATAATATTAAATACTTTTTTTCTTCATTACAATACACAAAACCAACACGGTTTTTCCTTTATATTACTTGCGTTGTTTTATTATTAACATTTGGTTGAGACTTTGAGAGTGTAGCTAGGTACTCAAAACTTCGACCCTAGTAAGTTGGTCTTGTTCACGATATTTCTGATTTGCCGTTTTAAAATGGATCGTTTTACATACACAATATAAGACTTGAAATCAATAATCTCTTTAATAATTATGAGTTATAAATTTGAACAGTCAATATCGTTGAGCTATGCGTACTTAGAGCTGCAGGTGTGATAATCGTATTGCACAAATATGCTGTGAGTTTTTTTCAGATTAAAATATGTCCTTTGGATCCACACCAGACAAATAAAATGTAGCGGTATTATTTATTTTAGTATACTGTAAGTATTGCACTAACCACAAGTTGCTCTCTTCACTACAACCGTCGCTTATTAATAAAATACAAACCATACAATCTGCAGTGGTTGTAAACTTAAAATATCCACGAAATAACCACGTGCGCATAACAATATATTATCATTATTATTATTATTATTATTATTATTATTATTATGTCATCACGCTATAATATGTCGTTGGGTGTTCACCGTGTTCGTGCCGTGTGTTTCAGCACACGAGGAGTTGAAGTACTTGGACATGATAACAGAGAAGAGCGAAGCGATGGCCGCCGCGACGCCGTCCGTCGACTCGAAGACGGTCGTCGTCGTGGCCTCCCATCAGCAACAGGTGCATCACGGTCGGCAATCCGTCAACCGGCCACCCTCGTCGGCGCTCACCGGGCACCATCACCATCACCACCACCACCACCAGCCGCCGCCACCGCCACAGCCGCCGCCGTCACACCATCAACCTGTGCAGCCGCCGCACAACCAGCAGCCGTCACTGCACCACAACCGGTCCGGTAGCAGCCTGTCCGTGACCGATTACCGCGAACCGGTGACCGCGCCGACGGTAATCTCGTTGGAGTCCGGCGGCGGCGGCGGAGGACGGCGGGCGGCCGCCGTCAACGGAAGCGTTTCCAGCGTGATATGCGGCGGCGGGCCGACCCATCCGACGCACGCGGCCGTCTGGCACCCGCGACCCATCTACCCGTTCGCGTTGCCACTGACTAACGCCACCGCGCTGTGGCACCACGCGCAGCCACATTTCCCCACGCCCAGCGTCACCTTCCCACCGTTCATCGAGGTGAGTCCATCACGTCAATATTATAATCCGTCTTATCGTCAATCTTGATATCGAGAGTCGATGAAATACAATTTCGTTATTATCTTTCAATTATAGTCTTATCATTATTAATATTATTATTATTATTATTATTATTATTATTGTTATTATTTGTATTTGTATTAATGGTACAGTATCAACTACTATAGGTTATTAGCATGCAACAAAATATATAGTACATATAATTCAATGGTTTTCTTAGATTGAGTTGTACGTATCATTGAGGTTTAGAAATTTGTTATTATTATTGTTATTATATGGATAGGTAGGATCTTATGACTTTATGAGCATAAAATATTTCACTTTGAAATAATTCAAACTTGAAACTTTCACCATAATTGAAATATTCAAAAATATATATTTTTTGAATTTTGTGTTTTATGGTCTGACTGATTTCATACCTATATTAGTAATTATCAATATTCAATTTCTGATCATGATGCAGGGAATATATATACATACGATAGATAACTTTTATGTACCTAATTTATATAAAGTACGAGTAATATTTTTATAACATTTAACGAAGTAGAGGTGCGCTCCCTCTATAATTTTAAATTACACATTATTTTTATTTTTCATCTAAATGAATTATTTTAAGACAGTTTCATAAAATATTTCAAAAAAAATTTCGGAAGTTTCAGAACTCTGATAACCAGGTGACTTCGATTTATACTAGTATGAATAATGAAAATCTCTCACAGTTTTCGATATTTTTTAAAAGTCCCCTCGACGCGCAAACTGGGGTACTCTCGATGTTTTTTGTCATTGGTTGCGCATAATTTATGCTTATATAATTAACTCATATTTACATTACCAGTGCTATAATACCATTTCATATGTCAGAAAAAGTATCAAATTTGTTTTCATTTTTCAATTTAAACTTTAAAGAAAGGAAAAATCATTAACTCACTAAACAATCCATAGCTACATTTTGATTTTGGTACCTTAGCATTTTCAGAAAAATTACCAACTACATAATTTGCCCTAGAAAACAGGCTTCTCGTTTGAAAACAGAAATTCGTATATTGTATCTCTTGGAAATTCTTTAAGGCTTAAGTAGATAGTAACGAAAAATCTCGACAATTTGAAAATATGCTCTTTATGCTAATGTTTAAGTGGTGATCAGATTTTAAATAACTACATTATTAAAGAAAAAAAGAGTGAGATTACAGAAATGATTCACATAACCACTCTGTATATAATATAATAATGTGAGTAATCAGAGGACTAGGCGGATAGATCACCGGATTGTTGGACGCTACTAGAAATGTCACTGATACTTTAATCAGAGTGAATAGTCATTATTATACAGGGCTGGGGTGATGATGAGATGATAATAATGTATTAAATTATGAATGACCATCGTATCGGTTGTGTGCGTCTAGGTCTGGCGTCCAAAATAAACAATGGATTCCTTGTAAGACGCGATTTGTTTTTTGATCGACGTAGAATATTATGTAGTAGCGGATGCAATACAATTTATTATTACAATGCAGTACTTACATCGATCCTGTGGGAAAAATACACGTGTGGAAAAGGGATGAAATTATACGTTATCTACATCATAACGTTGTTATTGATTTTATTATTCTTGAAATCGTGGACAGTTAGTAGACGATGTAGGCTATATAGGTTACCTCTGTACACTTAGATACAATAATATTATACACTTAATATGTAACAATCTGCAGTCGACAGATAATAATGCAGACCTTTCGCTATTCCATTTTATACAATTTGGATACGACACCGGGAAATGGGTTTCACTGTTCAGGTACACTTCACTCTTATAGTGTTTTAATTAATGTGACCTCAACCACAGACTTGTGTTAATTGCACACGTGCTTTGTTTTGACTATTAAAAACGTGATGATTGCATCCTTCGCGCTAATATATTTCCAAACGTATATAATATTATACAGTATAGTAGTATTCTTACTTATAGAATCAAAGTTGAAGTCCGTCCCACGCTCCCACACCTAAATCCATATTATTATGATACGTGTAACCGACAATGCGAATAATAGTCCACACTTGAGGGTAGATATTTCGTTTAAATTTAACAATAGGTAGCTTTGTAGGTAATGAATTTGTTTTCTAAGAACTACAATGAGTAGATATATGCAGTATTAAAACTCTATGCGCATATTTACTGCAGTACCGGCGAAACCATATAGTACGTGCAATATTTTCGGTAAACCTATCTGCGAGAGTCGAGAGTTTGTTTTGTTAGAAAATTAATGTATTTTCATACATAACACACTCGAAATAATTATAATGTACGAAGAGTGTCAAAAGTTTTGGTCAGCCTTTCGTACAAGGTAAATTATAATAGGTACGTCGTATGCAAATTTGAAGGAATTAATATGGATAGTAAGTTAAACGATAAATATCGCTGTGGTATGCGATGTATATTTTTATTTTTAGTAAAATTCGAAATAAACCATACACTAATTTGATACAATAAATTCATTACATTAAATATGTAAGCCATCATTATGAATTATGATATATATTGGGTGTTTAAAAAACGTTCTCGGCCATATGTTTCAAACTTAAGTACGGTACCAGTATACAACGGTTTTAGAAAATAAATAATGAGTAGAGATACTTAGATAGAATATGTAATATATTATAATGAATTATGATACACCTTAATTATATTAAAATATAAAGTTCTAATACTGAAGAGTTACAAATTTGAATTTTCACAGAACAAATAGCAGGAAATAAATCAAAAATGTATGCTGTGCCCAGTCATTTGGGATCTAAAAATAGTAATACTTTTTTCAAATTGTATTTTTTGTACCTATAAAAAGTTTGATTAATGACAGTATAATACTATAATATACTGCCAACTAGTGCCAAGTGCCGATTATTTCTAATTCTTCTAAACTAGGTACTCAAGAAAAATTAACCAAGGATACAAAAAATAACACAAGGTTTGAAATTTAAAACATACTGTACAGCTTCCTTGTGTATAATATACAAGCCGAAGTGCACGAATTAGGTAATCGATATAAAACATAATTATAATGACATTATTATTTAAATTATAACCACCTGTATGTTCATAATAATTAATGAAAATATATAAAAGTGTACCTAACTAAAATAAAAAAATTAATAATTTGAGTAACTAAAACATCGAATATCAGTTAGAATTTTAAATTGTAACAGTTTACATAAAACATGATCAATCCTATCAATGTTATAGAACTGCTGTTCCGATTAAAAAATATATTCGAATTAACAATTAAATCAATTTGTTTATCACTTTTTTTGTGCGTTATGTAGTTCTATAAAAATATCGAATTTATGGAGTTTGCACTGTCAGCAGTATATTTATCTTGTATCTCATTGACGTCATATACTTAGAATCCTAACAAGCGTAGTTTGCTTTGTTTTTATATATTATCATACAACATATATATATAAATACAAAACTATATTTTATATATACCATGATTTTGCTAACCCAATTTCTGTATTATTAAAACAAGTTATTCTCGCGTCCACTAGCTACATGGTTATTGGTTATTGGTTCATGGCTGTATGATTTGTGTTACGGAAATGATCCACTTTAGCTGTATGTGCAACGGAAAATTAAATGACAAATTTTAGACAGTGTTATTAGGAACGAACAATTTACTGTATGTGCTTGTGTTCTATCAGTAAAGTAGAGATGAATTCAGAGTTGAAAAATAATTACGTGTATAAACCGTTTTAAAATAATTGGAATACGGATGATAAATGTCAAATTATAACTTAAAGATTTTAATTAAAAAAAGTAAAAATTATGTATCACCTTTCATACATCACAGGGGCTTCCTCGTGGATAAATGTCATATTTACGCATCAGCTGTTGCCATACACGTGAAATCAGGTTAATTTGGCTACAGGTATATACAACCAATTAAACACTACCCTACTGTAATATTAAAATGATATGGTGTTAGTGCATTTCATTTTTTTGTTAGTCTCCGGTGGACGACGATATCAGTAAATGTATTAATTTTTATAAAATAAAAACGAGGGTGTGATATTATTGGGATTAACGCCGACCAGTCGTGTCCTGAAACTATTGTCCCAATAATAACGAGGAAATATCCATTACGAGGTGGACCGGAACAAAACAATAAAATAAAAACGAACACCTATATAATTAAACTCGAATCGTGTACAATCTAGAAAATAGCGTTTGTTCCGGAATCGTATATATAAGTATAGGTACGTATAATATATTATATAATAAGTCCGCAGCAGTATAATATTCTTTACATTTTTCCCGCCCCAACTATTTATATACTTAGGTATAATGTATACTGTAAGTATATGTATGTATGTATGTACAATATATATGTATTATAGGAGTATGTATATAAAGGTAGACACATTGAAAACAAAATTTTTGTAGTTATATTTTCCGTCGTAAATGTTGTTGCGTAAAATAGTTGACAGTTAACATGCATGACGAAGGTATATATACAATAATATATATATATATGTGAGTATTATACCTATACAGTGTGAGTTTTAAGGGCTGGCGGGCGGGTGGGACGACCAGTTGCGGTGGCGGCGGGGAGTTCGGAGAGGAGGGGGTGAGGTATGGTGGTGGCCCCTGCAATGAGTTACAGCCCGGCCGACTCTGATAAAGTTATTAAATTCCCTAGCTATGCAGACGGCAATAAAACGCAGCTTTACGATCCAGCCCATTGCCTGGAACTTTTGTCATTTTAATGAAAGGTATTAAACACACGGGTACGTATCGGCTGATTATTAAAAAAAAAAAAAAAAATACGGTGTTGATGCGATATTTCCCTCTCCATCTTATTTTAACGACATAACGTTGTGCTCGTAATACTAAGTGTATTCAGGGTAACATTTTCCAAACCTCGTGTTTTTATAGTGTCCTGCTGCAAGTGCAGAGATTTGAAAAAAAAAATAGTTATTTAATA